TACTTAGATGTACTTACGAGCACTCAAAGTAACATGTGTATCAGAGGAGCATTCAGAAGCAGTGTTGTTCAACGAAGAGTYGAAGCTCTTTTTAGGGATGGTGCTGAAATGAGATGCGTCATTGGTTGCATGCTTGTTCTGRCAAATGTACATCACCTACGAAAAAAAAATTTTTTTAGCTCGCTCTAATCGCTTMAAAAATACTCGGATATTTCTGAATTTAGCACATGAAGTAGCTCARACATTTAGGTTTTTAATGGTGTATTTCAAATTTTATTCTTGAGTCGCGTTTCTCTTTACGGGCCGATTTTCTGACAGCGGTTTTTTTCAATATTGTCCTCTTGCTCGCTTAAAAATCGATGGATTTTCATGAAACTTCAGTTTCTTGGTAAATAAATGATCATACCTAATTCTGTCGTCTGTCGAGTATAAAGGAAATCTATTGAGCGCATTTTCTTAATACTATTCTTTCGCCCTATTTTGCCGCACAACTATTTGCGCCCGATAGATTTTCTTCCAATTCGGCAGACGTACCATTCCCGGAGGATAGAAAATGTATTGTTTATTGGTCCACCTACATGGCCGCTGTAACGTCATGTGAAAACTTTCTATTAAATCATATTTTAAATGCAAATTGTCTCAGTCTTAGAGTCTTACCTTGGGCACGAAAATGAGGCATTGAGTGACAGTCGTACAGAGGATGCATAGCAATGACGTCATACCATATATCGCACTGACGTTGTCCTTGATGACGTATAACACAGGAATGACCAACACGCAAGGAATGACAACGTTGTACACAGCAATACCGATCAGTTTGGAGTCGTTCAGAACAGCGATAGTCACCTGGAAAAAAATATTTAAGGATAAAAATGTGTTGGCTGATGGCGTAAAAAAACAGTTCTTAGACTCTGATTAGCCGCAGAGATATTTTCATTTTTCCCCTTGTGTTTAATTGTTCTCCTGTTAAAAATAGGAGTAAATGTTGAACAAGAAATTTAYAGAAAGCCACTGAAATGCTTCTAAAAAGCCACTTAAGTGCTACTAAAATACTGTTAAAATGCCAATATAGTGCAACTTCAATGACACACAAATCACAGTAAATATGCCACAAAAATGCTACTWAAATGCAGCAAAATATCATTGAAATTCCGATAAAAAGCTCTTGAAGTGATACTAGAATGTATCAGAAATAGGCAGTCAACATTCAAAAATAACGGCCACTCGCCTTTCTCGTTTCCCAAGCCAAGTAGGTTCCAAAGAGCAGCAAAAATCCCTTGTATCCGTACAGAACACCAGTAAAGATGATGAGATGTTGTGAGGTACATTGAGAGTAGTGAGGGATCAGGATCAGATCACCGCCTTCTAAAGTCTGCGAGAAAAACAATCATTAAGGCTGCNAATATAAGTACTTATTATAAATGTAATTGACAAATTCAGCACTGCTGCCCTTGCTAGACAGTCTGAACTGCCCTAATCAATAAAGATAATATAGCAATTTCATTTGGTTAACAAACAGTAACAATTAACTAATGACACAATGCTGCCCATGCCATACAGTATGCACAACATAATTATATTAAGGCATTGATACACTTCTGCCCTTGCAAGAAAGTGTGGGTAAATCTTAACTCACTTAGAAAATTAAATGTTTTGACCGGTTGAAGACTGCTGCCCATGCTAGACAGTATCAACCGTTCTTCTATATATAACATTCAAACACTTCTGCCCTTGCTAGAAAGTGTTAATAGCCCAAGTAACACTTCTAAGACATGTATCATGCTATAAATTGCTGCCTCTGCTAAACAATGATAGCACGACAATGACTTATAAATTACTTTTTAGATGAGGTTTTGGCTGAGAAACTATTAATTCTTATATATTTAAGAAATGCATTGGATTTCCAGCGACCTAGTGTTCTTATCTGTGCATCGGTAAGCCCCAATGCTGCAGYGTGGGTAGCTGCCCCTATGCGAAAACTGTGCCCTTTGTAATGMAAAGGATCTAAACCACATTGTTTRATGGCAGAAGATAGAAAAGATGAAAAAACATTCCGAGGAACAGAGTCACCCGAACTAAGGTTGAAAAGTGCACCAGGCATGTTACCACGTTGGTCGAGGTATTCAAGAAAATATTTAACAGGGCAAGGCCCAGCCTGACGATGGACAGTAATYGAGAAAGGTCGGTTGTTGTAATTATGTTTGTAATTTCCAAATGAMATTCTTATGGCTTCAACATAAAGAGAGGAATTACACAGCTTAAAAACTTGACTTATTTGCAACGGGGGGTTGGCAGACCGTTTCCCATTCACAGTTATTTCCCCCACTCTTAGAAAKGCAAAAAATGCAATGGCACACATTGCTCGGAATAAACAAGCCTCGTAAAAGGAATTTGTGGCATTTGAAGCAGAAGCTAGTAGTTTTTCGAGAATAGGAAGAGTGATTGGTAAACGATTGTCCAACCTAAACCCTATCTTCCCATAACCTTTAAGCATTTGTACTATGTAAAAAACCTTAGAAGGATCATCATAACCAGCTAATTTGTGTGAGTATGCAATAGCCGAAACGTAAGTATTAACTGTGGAAGGTGCATAACGGTTCTCATATAAATAGGCAATAAACAAAGCCAGCACTGATGGGGAAACTGGCAACTTAGCAGCATTGTTGCTAGGAAAAASACAAGTTGAAAACTTATAAAAAAGAGCCCAAGCTCGTTTGTAAGTTGGTACCGATGATAACTRCAAGCTAGATTGCAAAAGCTTTGAGACTATATCACCCAATTTTGAGGCTGTAAGTGTAGAGGAATTGCTGTTGGCTGAGAGTCCATGCTGGGCRGAGCTAGCTTCATGAAGTTGTGAACCTGCAGGCGAGACAAACAATCGGCTAAGGTGTTGGAAACACCAGCAATGTGTTTTGCCCGAAACAAAATATTAAATTTTAGGCAAATGGCAACTAACTTTCGAACGAAAAACATGAGCTGCTTATCATGGCACGACTGTTTGTTGATTACATGAACTAATGCCTCATTATCAGTAAAGAACAAAATGCAACGATTACGCATCTGGTCCCCCCACAAATATAAACTCAGAACAATGGGGCAAAACTCAAGAAAAGCTATATTATTTCCAAGCCAAGACTTGGGCCATGGCCCATAGCACCAATGGTTGCCTAGTATTGCTCCATAACCAATGGAGCCTGCTGCATCCGTATACAGCTGCAATTTATTTGAATTTGTCCAATGCTCATCCAAGAAAAAGGATTTACCATTGAAATCTTTCAAAAACGTAAGCCAAACATGTAAGTCATCCTTAACCTTCGAACTAATTCTCACCCTATGGTGAGCCGCTTTGATTCCAATAGTGAGGTCTATTAGCCGTCGTAAAAAGGCTCTACCAGGGATTATCACTGAGCATGCAAAGTTCAAAAGGCCAATCAGAGACTGGATTTCTACTAAAGTCACYTTCTTACGATGAATGAAGTCAGAAATAAGCTCAATGCATTTGTCGATTTTATCTCTAGGAAGGCGTGCTAATTGAAGCTGGGAGTCAAGTTCRATACCAGCAAAAGACAAAGTTGAAGATGGACCGCATGTTTTTTCCGGGGCCATTGGTATACCCAGATATTCACAAGTATCAAGAAATAATTGTAGCTGATCTGAACAAAGTTTGGCGGATGGTGCAACAATAAGAAAATCGTCTAATAAGTGTAAAATAGAGGAAATYCTTAACTTAGTTCGGGCAATCCACTCGACTGATGAACTGAAAGTTTCAAATGTTTTACAGGAACTGGCACAGCCCATAGGCATAGCACGATCATAATAATAAAGACCGTCCCATTTCATCCCCAAYAAAGGATAATCAGCTGGTTGGATTGGAATAATGCGAAAGGCATTTTTTATATCTGTCTTTGCCATAAAACAACCCCTCCCATTCTGTTTAACAAAATGCATTGCATCCTCAATTGTGGCATAATGGACACTAGTGTTTTCAGGCTGAATGCCGTCATTAACTGAAGTACCCTGAGGGAATGACAGATGGTGAATCATTCTGAATTYGCCAGGGGTTTTCTTTGGTACCACCCCTAAAGGAGAAACTCGAAAATTGGGAAATGGTGTAGAATGAAATGGGCCTGCTAGTCTATGGGCATCCAGTTCCTTCTGAAGTTTAGCTGAAACAATATCAGGGTTACTGCGTGCACTTAACAGGTTCTCAGCCTCAAAGGAAAGAAACTCCCCTTCAAAATGCAAAGGGAATCCTTCACTAAAACCAGAACGTAAAAAATCAACTATAGACGGTGTATACCCAGAAAGCAATTTACAAAGGCGTTCACATTTTACTGGGGTTGGGAGCCTGTGGTTTGAAATGGCTGGATTGGTTGGAAGTTCTGATTGGCTTCGTGAAGGGACGAAAATTGCACTGAAAGCCAGGGTGGTTTCCCTMACATTTAAAACATGAATGCTTAAATTCACAGCCCGAGCACTCTTTCCCCCTGTGAAAACGATAGCAAAACCCCTTAGGTATCACTCCTGCCTTGTTAGGTTTAACAGTTGAATTATTATTAAGAGGTGATGATGACTTGCTAACATTAACTTGCGCCTGCAACCACAGCTCCCAATGGATATTACCCCACGGAAAGAGTTGAGGCTGACTTTGCCTCAGAAAACGAAAATTTTCATCATAAAATTTCCAATTGTATGACCTAGAGGCCAAGTCCTGAATGGTCTCACCATATTTCATTAGATGAGGTGCTTCGCCAGGGTGTGCCTGGGTATACACTGCAACAAATATCCGGAAAGCAGACATCCAAGTATCAATATTTAAGATGCGCCTGGGTTTAGAAGTGGGCTCGATGGACAGAGCAGGCTGGTCCCCACTTCTATTTACCACACTTATTTGATACTTGGACTCTGTGACTGGATTCATGAGTAACAAACCAAAGTCAAAAAATTCATTTGATAAAATTTTGGATTTARGCTTCGCAGGAATTCTAGCCTCTAAACTGAGTCCTACTGACTGGAAAACCTGACTGGGCACAGATTTTTCAGGCTGCTCACCTCTCACACATTTATTAGCAGYATTCACGKCCTCATCAACTGTTGTCTCTGCCGACTTTTCACCCGGTGACTGGCCAGTTGTTACATTTAYGTTGCTGGACTCCTGAAGGTTTTGCCCAAGGGGTACTTCTGTGAGATCATTATCTGCATCCTGTTGAAATGTTGATGTAGCAGCAGCGTCATTTGCAGTTTGCGTCTGAGTTAAACCTCGAGTCAGCAAGGGGGTTATACTCTTTGTGACCTCAGCGCTCACTCGAGCCACCAGCTCATTAAACATACTGGTAGACAGTGCCATTGATGATGTCGCTCCAGCTGTAGCATCAACCACATCACTCTCTTCCCGAGGAACCACAGGACGGCCTTTCTTGGTTCCCTTCTTATTAGCTTTCTTTTTTGATGCGACCTGACGTCTTAGCTGTTCAAGGACGTGAAGCAACTGATCCCACGAAGTTGTATCACGTGGATAGATAGTTGCCCATGACAACAGCTATCAAAAGGAGTACCGCTGCCCATCTGCCGCGTGACTTCTGTTCTTACGTAACTATAATTTTAGCCTATCTTTAATGGCTTATTAATCAAATAATTACAAAACAGTTGGAGGGGAACATAAAAATCCTATTCGCCAGCAAATATTCCATTTTTATATTTGACAAACTATTGCTTCTGCTGCTGTTATTGCTGTTGATTTTACTGTTGTTGCTGTCGT